CGAGAAATCCCATCATATCAAAGTAAAAAACTGGGTGGTCGAAAATTCACGAAATCCACGAAGGCTTTTTTGCCTGGTCCTGATTGATGAAGTATTTTCCAGCAAGGGAGTTCTGAAAATGTTAGAAAAGGTGATAGTCGATTGGCGAAAGGTCTGAAGAATATGGCGGTTGAGGTAGAACTTCAACCCCCAATTCGTTCAATTTATGGATAGTGATTTGTGAAACGTGTGGGCGGGCGTTGTCATGCAAAAAGAATCGGACCCTTCTTTTGATAAGTGTTGGCTGCATCTGACAAAATTTTCGGTACAATTCGTCGATTTCTTCACAGTAGGGTTCTGCTGTGATGGTTTGGCCTGGTGATAAAAAGTTATAGTGGATCACACCAGCCGATGACCACCAAACCGTGACCAGAATCTTTTTTCGTGAGGGTTCGGCTTTGAAAATTACCTCGGTGGTTCGTCGAAATCCAACCACTGTCCGGAACGTCTCCTGTTATCATACATGACCCATTTTTCATCACAGGTGACAATTCGGCCCAAAAACAGGTCGTTTCTGCTGCGCAAAAGCAATGCAGAAGGAACCTCGAGACGTGCCGATTCCTGCCGGTCACTCCGATTGTGGGGCACCCAATTGTCGAGTTTTTTCACCTTCCCAATGCGTTCCAGACCATCTGCAACAGTGGATTTGCCAACGCCTAGCTCTTCTGCTATCTCTCGAACTGTTTGGGATGGGTCAGCCTCCAAAATCCCCTAAAATCCTCGTCAGATATTGCTTAGGTCGACCGCTATGAGGTTCATCTTCAAGGCTGAAATCTCCAGAACGAAATTTGTTGAGCCATTGCCGCACAGTGCTTTCTCTAGCACTATTGGGCCCCCACACCTGGTTTGTTGAGCTGTTTCGATTGCGGATTGCTCCAATTTATAGTCGAAGAAAAAAATCGTCCGAAGTGCTCTTTTCACATGCTTGAAAAAATCTTGAAAAAAGGGGTTTATCAAGCAATGGTGAAACGGCAATTATACCATCAGATAGCGCAAGAAATTCTCTACAGATGTGCTACTGAGAAGCAAGGCAGAATGAGTTTTTAATCAGCAGTGAATGTACAAAAAATAGGTGCACAAAACGCTGAGAACTTTCCGGACAACCTAGTAGAACATGCAGTGCCAGTAGCTAAGCTCCAGACAGTCGCACTATCAGAGAAAGTGGGTCCATGTATGTGTGTGTGGGTGTAGGTAATGCCGGAGTGAAGAGGGAGTGATCAGGTTTGAGTCGAATGCCTCTAGCGTTCTTACTACACACTTTCGAGAGGTGGATTGACACAGTGTGTTACAGAGGACCTGCTCATCCTAAACTAAAAAGGGATTCTACAAACTACGCAGTCGTGAAATGTGTCTTCAAGTTCGCACGCATTCTCTAGGTTATCGATCCGGCGAACATCTTTCCCACGGTGGCGCTTCCTCTTGCGTTCAGTTCTGAGCAGAGAGCTGATACACGGAAAAATCGCAATCCTCAGCCGTTGGAAAATGTCAGTTAGTCTGTACACAGCTCTGTCAAAGACGCGCGCGCGTGTTGTTTCATTTGGACTAAAGCATTTTCCTGATTGGTGCGTTCTTTCTCTTGTTCCCCCTATAATGACTGACCGATGGATCTGTCAATAAGAGCACACCCCTCCAAGTGAATCCGCCCATATGATCAGCACGAAATGTAAACTTGAGAGCGTTAGAAACAAAAACGCGAGATTCCCCATCCAGTTCCTTCACTCTTGTGAACCTAAAATAAATATGCTGTTTTTGGCGGTCACGTGGAAGTGGTCGGTTTAGTCACAACAAGCGAAGTGAGTATTCGTTCTGCCTAAAATGCGGCAGTTCAAGTAAGAATACTTATGAGTATGGAAGGATGTTTTTGCACGCCTTTAGTGCTGGATAGCGTGAATGATATAAAAATTAGAAACAGGACTAGCTGGAAGACAACAGGACCAGCCGGGGAACTACAGAGTTCCAGCAGACGTCTTTTCTTGACCATTCAAGAACGCCCCTTGGATTAGAAGCTGCTGTCTCAGCAACTTTGCAAAAGCAACAGCAAGGAGGTCATGCAGGCTAGAGATGGCCGTGTAGCAAGCAGCAGGAATCAAGGGATATCGCTCAGGTCAGGCAACTATTCCACCCTCCAGTTGCCCCGTAGCAAAGTTGTTCCAGGGAGCAAACTAGTAGGTGGAACTTAGCTAGTGGTCCATTACATTATGATCTGCTCCGTGGTTCAGGTACGACACAACAGCTATTTCGAGTGCCGTTGCAAGCGGCGTCACGTGAGCGACATTCGCATCTCGACCAAGGCAGCGTTCAGACTTCGCGACGGCAGCGCTTCGATCGCGTGTTCGACGCGATCGATGCAGTCGAAAGCATGCGCATCGATCGCGCCGAACGCGCGACCGAGCGCTGCCGTCGCGAAGTCTGAACGCTGCCTAACTGATTCACCATGAAATTGTTACAGCGTGTTGGCTCAACTACAGTCCTCATCATTGCGGACCGGTGGGGCGTGTCAGTGCGGCTGCGTTTGGCGCGGTGCCAAAGTCGTTCTGCACCAGTTGTTGAAGCGGGCAAGTGACATTACTGTATTATATCCTTCGTATTACTCGTTTTCTACCACTTTTTGTCGCATACGCGTTTCAACAAAAAGGCTGAGAACGGCTTCAACAGTGTGCACACTCATACTGGCTGACACGCCCCACCGGTCCGCAATGATGAGGACTGTAAATCTCCTGCCAGTTCGGATGCACTGCTGCGGTGCGGAAGCAGCCGCTCCACCCTCACACAATCCCCCCCCCCTTCCTCTATGTTTTGCTTTCTGGTGGCTCAAAGAAATGTTTTAGTTCGTTGTCCAAAGCCACTTCATTTTCAAATCGCCGATTCCTCATGTGGTTGTCCAAGGCCAAAAACAGATGATAGTCACTTGGAGCAAGGTCTGGCGAGTACGGAGGTGAGGTAGAATTTCCCATCCTAGTCGCGCTATTGTTTCCTGAGTGATTCTTGCAGTGTGTGGTCTTGCATTGTCCTGGTGGAAAACCACAACTTTTCTGTTCGCCTTAATTGAAAGTAATCTAAATTAACAAATACACTGAATGACACTCCTTGACATATGTCTTAACATATGTCAAGGAGTTTCATTCAGTGTACATAAAGTTACCCTATCATTAGATCCAGTTTACTGAATATACTTCATAAAAGTAAACAAAAAAAACCCGCACGTACTTTTTTGGTTGCCTAATAGAAAAAGTCAGGAGGAGGACTCTCGAGACCTCCGAATATCGAAAAAAGGCGACACCTACGGGCCAGTTACAGTCCTAAAGAGTATAGCTGCTGAACAGAGGGGAAAACATTGGTCACGGCTCTTGCAAAGCATGCCTAAACCAAAACGGCCACTTCGCGCAAGCAAAATTCTGCCATGGTCACGAGCTGTAACCAGGACACGTCCTGTTGGGAACAACTTTGTGAAATATGACCACCCCTGGAAAGTCCCTCCATCCTCCCTACCGTTTCCCCAATTTCTTAAAGCTTTTCTCTCAACATCTCAGCGCTTCCGGAGTTTTCCGAGAAATTCTCCAGTTTTTTTCCAAAAAAACTGCCATGTAGTGGGGCGGGGAGCTGGCGGGGACGCACAGGTACATGACACGGTGAAAAACTGAAGAGAAGTCGATCCCGGCACAATCTCTTCAGAAGCAGGAACGACTTTCTCGCTAGGGACCCCCTTCACGTGACGTACCGCGGACCGCGGCAGCGACAGGCCACCTATGTATAGATCGCTGGCGGAGAAACAGAAAATACGCTCACCCCAAACCCGCTCCTACAACCTCTGTTTGGTAGGGTTCCTGTAGGACTGAGCCCCTTGCTTGCAAAACTGAGGAAATTGACAGCCCGAAGTGACTCGAAGGTGGTCGGAGCGCTCCGTGAGCGCTCAGCAGGGAAGCAGAAGATGAAAAAAATTGGCCAAAAAAAAACTGCAGCGTGGGAATCCCGCACTCGTAAGGTGTTACTGCCAGTGTGTCGAAGAACTAAAAACCACTCATCAAAACTAGTTTTCATAGAAATTTAATGTAGTGATAGCCTCGAACTGTAGAAATCTCAGGGCAATCCAGCGATCAATACGAGAATTAAATGTAGACAGTACTATGCTTGTCCTGGATCCCAGAAGCTCAGCTACATTGGAGATCACTCTGAATATCTGAATAATACATTTTAAAGAGCTTAAAAATGTCAATTTATAACGAACCACGGTTTGTACAACTTTGTTTTCCAACGCCGTCGCATCGAACAGCCGCGGCGCGGCCCCAATGAAAATGAGTTTTCATTGTTTTATACCGGAATGTTGCGTTATAACCCAACAATCCGTGATGGGTTCTACAGGGTATGAGACGGCCTTCCTAACCATGCCGGATTTTCTCAGAATCTTTGAGTTTGGATCGCAGCACAGGGACGGCAAATGCAGCAGTGATGTTTTCGGTTTCGGAAAAAACATTTTTTACATGGGGACAGGAGCAAGTGTAGCCAAAAGTACGCATGAAATCATTAAGGTAATATATCTCTGAATATCCATGAGAGTGCTTAATGTATAATCAGCTCAAAGTGCAGAGAAAAGTTCTTTAAAACGCGTCCAACTCAAGAATTTTTCCCGAGGGTATGGTTTGAAAAGCCTTTGCGCACAGTATGCCGAAGTGTTCAAGGGAATTTTGATATTTGCCAGAAAGCAGAAGTCTTCCTCTTTCACAGCCACCAAAAAATCCCAGAAAAGATTGCGATCTGTGAGTTTTCAGAAGGTTTTTCCAACGAGTACTTACAATGCGGAGTGGCGTATCGCGCCTTCCAGCCGTCTCTTCGCTGGAGGCGCAACGGGGGAACCCTGCCTGCTATATAAATTCAGAGCGCGTCGCTCTTCTTAACGCTCAGTTCGTGTTCTGGTTGAGTGCGGTTTTTTGCTACGATCAGTCAATTTGGATTCTGCTGTCACTATGTCTGAAGTTGCCGAAACTCCTGCCCCAGCTGCGAGTGCAACGACCACCGCGAAGAAGACAAAGGTAAGGTTATCAAACACGGCTTGGGGTTTTTTCACGTGGTTGAGATGTGGGGGTTTTGTTAACGAATGGTTTTTAGGCTGCTAAGCCAAAGGGAGAGAAGAAGGCCAAGGCCACTCCGAGTCATCCGGTGTATGGTGCCATGATCAAGGCAGCCATTAAGGCCATTGAGGATCGTAAAGGAGCGTCAAAGCAAGCTATTTTGAAGTACATTGTGCAGAAGTATAAACTCGGTGACAATGAAAAAATGGTGAGTTCAAGAAAAAAATGGCAACTTGGGTGGATTCTGTTTAAATCATATGCTGATATCGACTTTCAGATCAATTCGCATCTCCGCATGGCGCTGAAGAAGGGTGTTCAGTCTGGACTTTTGAAACAGGCTTCGGGCTCTGGAGCTGCTGGCAGGTTCCGACTCGGCGATAAGTCTGAAGGAGGATCTGCGAAGCCAAAAGCGGCAAAGAAGCCTAGAGCGCCCGCCGGAGAAGGCTCACCGAAAAAGGCTGCATCGGCCAAGCCTAAGGTACTTTTATTGTATACTATCATTCCTTCGTCTTTTGTCAGATATTGTTGTAACCCCTTAAGATTTCAAGCTATTTTCTTTGACATTCCGTTTTCAGGCACCCAAGGCGAAGAAGGAGAAGTCATCCAAGTCTCCCAAGAAGGCGTCAAAGCCCTAAGGCCAAGACCGCCAAGTCGCCAAAGAAGGCCGCTAGCCCGAAGAAAGCTGCTTCCAAGCCCAAGAAGACCACCAAGAAAGCTGCTGCCACCAAGGCATAGATTATTATTGTTGTCATTGATGAGGTTGTGTCGATCTCTTGTACATATTACTATATTGACTATTGGATTAATACACATTACGGTTACCGCTATTCATCTTGAAGAGACCCAGTATTTGTTGTTAATAAACATTTATTAATGAGATTGTTTGGTGACAGTTTGGGAGCGAGGAATGAGGGGTCCGCTGGGGGGAGTACCTTACAAAACCAACCATTATTTCAGCACTGATGAGTTTTCGTGGCCACACCACTGGTGGTGGGGTGTGGTTCAGATTTTGCTCTGCTGCGCCTGCCCTTCATATGATCGATCGCCGCTTTGGCGCGCGTTAACTTTCTCGTCATCTACTTTTCGCTCTGAACTGATATTTGCAAACCGTGAAGATAGTTTACTGTAGAACACGGTCCTTATATTGCACAGTAGTTTCCGTTTGCATAGAATTATCAGCAAAATTGCAATATAAGGTGGCCGCTCGACATTTTGTTGTGCCCACATTTAGCGTTCGAATCAAAACGTGGTGGTACATAAACTCCAGTTCGCTGCGGATGGTTGGGCGTGTCAGGCAGTATGAGTGTGTCATGCCGTCAAAGCCGTTCTCTGCCTTCTTGTTGAAGCGCGCATGCGACAACCAGTGGTGGAAAAACGAGCACACGCAACGAATATGATACAGCCTTATCACTTGCTCAACAGTTGGTGGGAATGGGGCAAACTTATCCCGCCTGACACGCCCAACCGTCCGCAGCGAACTATACTATACCAGTATCCCTGAAATGTGGGCGCGGCTGCGTACTTCATTTGAATCTGGGCGGCGTTGCGCTCTTGATGATCTTTACTTTGGGACAATTGTACTCTTTGAAATAGGTAACTGTCACAATTTGAAATTATCCCCATGAATACATACTACGTCACGTTCGAGTGAACTACGTAGTAGTTCTACTACGTAGTAGTTTAGTGAACTACGCGTACTATGCCTATCGTCTCAAAATGTCAAAATGTGGAGTGTACTTCAAGTGGTCGTTTTTTTCGTTTTTAGTTGCTTCCCAATTTTCCCCCCCCCCACCACCCAGCATACTACAGGCTGAGTCACGTAGTTAGGAAGGACCACTCGGCCGCGATTCTGTATCCCTTGTTCAGAAAGATTGGGAATCAGAGCGTAAGAGGCGAAAAACGCACAGGTATAGTACTCAATCGCAAATAACTATAGAAAGATAAATAGACTAGTCACAGGTTTACTCATTTGCAGCAGTGATCAACACTAATTCCCTTCTTTCCACTATACTTTAATTGATTTATTTCTTGTATACCTTCTCTTATACTCAACATTCTCTCAGTGGTTTTGCCGGTTTACTCCTTTTCCCTTCCTTCCACACGTATTTACAGCACACTTCGTGTTATATCACTCTTTCATTATTATGTATAATTTTCATTATTATGTGTAATTCATCATCATCTTGATGCATGAACTTTGCATGTTACCCCCTTTTTTTACAATCTCTCTCTTTTTGTCCTATTTCTCACACCTTCCCCTATGTAGTCTATGTCCTCTTGTCTTCAACCTATCGCACTGATGAGCTCGGGGGTTGGCTAGACAATGATGATTCGTCTGCGATACCGAGCGAAACGGATCATCTGTGTTGTGGAGTGTATTCCTTTCCCATGTTTGTTTTTCTTTGCTTCTAATTGGAGGAGGGACATTATGGTCACCACTAAGCCCAAGCCTTGATTAGAGCGAGGAAGTGGTGGTAGCGAGTCGTCCTCCCTCCAGCTACGTCAGCGCCCCGTAGATTTGGTAATATTGCTATTAGTTGTGTCTCCGTGCATTTGGCATCCAGGTCGGCACTCGCACGGAGTATACCATTTGTCACACGAAAGGCAAGATACAGCGGCACAGACGCGTGACTCCTTGTGGACTAAAAATTTTTTTCAGGTCCGAAGACAACTGCTTAGGGTACTACGTGTGTTGTCTGGAACATCGCACGACGATTTCTGTGCTCGCAGGCGATTATCCAAGCTTGTCAACTTTCTCGCGAGTTCAGTAAATTTTCTGCTCTCCTTAAATACTTTGTCGAAAGTGCGCAAGCAATAGTAGACTACTTCGAACGGCGAAATGCGTTCTGGTCAGCAGTGATGCAATCGCATTGGTATTTTCTTTCCTTTCTCATTCCTCATCATTACGGACTGTCGGGGCGGCACAGCCGCGCTGCACTGTGACGCGACAGCGGCTTGCTCGGTGACGGCGAATCAGCTGATTTCGATGGAATTCGGCTGCAAATTCCCATACTTTTTCAGCTCTTCAAGCTTCGAAAGTGGCAGGGGTCGATTATATGCTCTCTTCCTTGTATTTTGCCTTGGCATTTATTCAGAATCAAAAATCGAAATCAGCTGATTCGCCGTCACCGAGCCGCAGCCGCTGTCGCGTCACATTGCAGCGCGGCTGTGCCGCCCCGACAGTCCGTAATGATGAGGACTGTACAAAAGCTCGTCATGCACTGTTTACCGTAGTCCTGATATCATGCTCAGAGTTTTCAAAAGCTGTCTTCTATCTCAGTCTTTTTGCTTTTCATTTTTTTCACTATTAGGTGGCATCCAATACTGGAAGATACGAAGATACGATCTGTGAATCAGTGGGCAGAGCAGAGGCCAGGGATGTTCAGTTGTCAGCGGCTTCGGTTCAGTTCAGTTGTCAGCAGCTGTACTAGTACTGCTATGTGATTGTCTGTTAGAAGTTTTTTTATGATGTTCTTCGAGTTTCTTTTTGCCTTTGTTCACTGGGGAGTCACTTGTCGGCCACTGGATCGTATTGGAGTACTCACTACCCACAATTCTGGAACGCCGTAATCGTGTTCAAGGCTGCGTTCAGACTTCGCTGTGACGCGCGTCGTCGCGCATTTACCGATCGCGATCGCGCACCAATGATATAGACGGGTTCAAGGCGCGCCGGCCGCTCTTGTTTTCATAGAGTATAGGAGAATAGAAGGGTGCCAACCTATGTGATTAGGCCTCATAAAATAGCAAGGCTACTGCGCGACCGCACTTCAAACTATTATGACCAGGACGCAACGGCAGCGTGAGGAAGTTGGTGATCGCAAAGTCAGAGCGCAGCTTAACGGTGAGTGTTAGCATTAGGGCACTCTAGACTACTGAAATGTTGAAAAGATGTTTCCAGAGATGTGGTTTTCATGCAAAAATGTCACAATTTCCCGTGAGACCACCATCACACACCTTGAAACTGTCTAAGTTCGATGTTCTGAGCAGCCGCATGAAATCAGCGTTTTAGCGCCAGACCGGTCTAATATTCTGATTCAGCGCGTGGAAGTGTTTCCGAAGTAAGGGTGTACGTTGAGAATTGAGCTCAACAGAAGTGAGATTGGCCTCTAGAGGACGAGCAGTGCCCTAGAATACTACAGGGGAAACGTGCCTATGATAGCGTTGCGCCTCAAGGAACTGTGAAATTTTTATTAGTGACAGTAGTCCTGGCACCACAAAACAGACTGACGCTTTTGTCAATAACGCTTCACTTCTAGATGATAGGTGCTCTCTATGACAATTGCTGAACGTATTCAATGGTACCTTCATGACTGGGCTGGGGATAATGCAGTTATTCGGGGCATGTGCAGAATAGCTACTGGTGTTTGTACAGATGGTTTGGAGCGAGTACAGCCGCGATAATTGTCCTCAGAGATCGCCCTAGCGAACTGATACGAAGCCCAGCAAGGTATCCTCGCAAAAGTAAGGAAAAATTGGCAGAAGTCTGCTTGGTGGGGGGGGGGCATTCGAGTAGAGTCCTTCTTCTAACTTGCTGGACGATGGATAAAAACGAGGTGACACGCTAGGGCAGCTGGCCTGCCTACCACGCGCGCGGTCCGGTGGCTTCTGTCCCTGAAAAAGCA